TCTGTCGATCATTTGATAAAATAATTAGAGAACGTTTTTAAAAGTAAAGCTTTTGGTTAAAGCTAAGGATGGTGGACAACTAAAAATTTTGACAATTCAAATTGCTCATATTTTAGGCCATCATGCAAAAATTGGCGCTCTCATTAATTAATAGCAACATAGAAAAAGAAAAAACAAATTCTCTCTCTCTAAAATCACCTATCTTTGTATTAATAGTCTTTCAGTTAGTTTGTTTATATATACACACTTGTATATGTGTTATTTATTGAGCTAGTTCGAGGTAATTCCATAAATATTTGGGGCGTGTTTGACCGTATTATAATACAATAATACAAAATTTAGTGTAACTATCTTATTGTATAAATTAATACGAAAGGTAAATTGATACGGTTTATATCGTATTATTGACTCCTCAATTTTTATAAAATTACATTTTGATCCTAACAATTTTGTAAAATTACATTGTTGATACTTGAATTTGTAACATGCTCATTAAGGGTCTAGACCCAATCCTTTGAGTCCTGTGACATAATGGCTTGTTCCGTGGACTCAAACCACGCTCGTGGAACTCCTGTGGGTTGTAGTTTGGTGGGCCATTAGTGATCAAATAAGCTAATTTGTCTTTAATTTGACCCAATTTGAAACCCACTTGAGGGATTTTTTAGGATTAATCAAAATAAGCATAAATGAGTGATAAAGAATTTAACCTAAAAAAGTCGTCCTTTCACCCTTTGGAAGCCCAAAATTCCTCATTTCAGCCCTTAAAAAGCCCAAGACCCAAGCCCCATGCTTAGAAACTTTTCTTCAACCTGGAGGCTTGAGAAACCCAAAGTTTTTTACCCATTCGAAGGCTTTCCTCGTGACCAGATATGCCTCTCTAAGTACTTTTCGTGTCAGACATGTTTATTCACGTCTTCTCCACATCAGGCTGCCCATTCGGAGCATTCGTTCTGTAGCCTAGTGTCGAAGCAGCTTGATGTCAAAGCAAGTACAAAGGGCTGCTTAGTCATTCTCGTACAAACAATCGCGGATGAAGAATGTGGGAAGGAGTGATCACATAATTGATGGAGGAGTGACTCGAGAGGTGGATAAGGTTTTCGATGGAGAAGTGCTCCAAAGGCAATTTTCGGGCTGCTTTGGAGGCTCTACGTATAATGCTTCACAGGCGAATATAGCGCTGATATAGGGACAAAATATGAAGAAGTATGGTGAAAGGGGCTCCGAGAGAAAATACAAATTGTTCTGGGAGTGAAGAGACCTTTTGGAGCACTCACTGTGATGACTTGAACACTTCTAAAAAAGTGTGAAAAAGACTCTTAAAATACTATCAGCTGGTCGTGAAAGAGAATTGAAGAATGTTCTTGAGGAGCTTCGACTCTTAGAAATTATGGAGTTCTTCAAGAACTTGAAGAACATCAAGTCTTTATAACAAAAGACTTGAAGAAAACACTCAAGAAAAGAGAAAATGTGGAGTGATTTCTCAAGAGTTTCAATACTCAAGAGAGTCGATGGTGAAAAATGGGAATGATGAAAATGCGAGAGTAAAGGGGTATTTATAGGAGAAAATGAAAGTGCTTGACAGTTGCTCTGACGGAGGCTTGAACACTCAAATCCGTTAGGAGCAAGGCTGTCAGCTCCCTTTTCAATTTTGAAAAAAGATGGTTTGAAAATGGAATGGAATGTTCTTGAATGACATCATGGAGGAAAACGGCGGCGGGTTGTTGGAGCATTTCCATTTGGAGGAAAGGTGTCAGCTAACTTTCTGAATTTGACAAAGAGACACTAAAAATGGGATGAAGGACTTCTAGGAACTTGTTCCGGAGAGAAATCGACAGTGCTCTGATGGAGCATTGCACACGCCATTTCTTTTAGAACAAAATCACAGCTGCCTTTTCAGAGGCAAATTAACACCATAAAAATGGAAATACTTGGAGGTCAAATTCTGGATTTTGGGTTAACATGAAATGACTTCAGACCTAAAATTCCCAAGCGTTTTATAACATAATATACAATAATATTAAAATATAATATAATATAATAACACAATTATATAATATAATTGTAATATTGTAACAAATAACACCATGATTATATTAATAATTTTAATATTATTATTTTATTATATAATATGATCTTATTAATTATATGATATTATATTAATATAATTATGTTTATTATATTAATAATAATATAATAATAAATATAATTAAATATAATTATAATGTTATAATTATAATATTATTATC